TGATGATCTGTTCCTAACTACAGGTAACCATTGAATGCGCAGAGACATGCAAATAGTGGCGGACAGACACAGCGGCTGTCAGCCTATCATTACTTTGTACAGGCTTACAGGCTGCAGCTGTTCATTACTACCTGTGATTTCTGCTACATGAATTTGCAGAGTCTTGCTGCTGAAATTTGCTGATGGCCAAAATAGCAAGTGTGAGTGCGGCCTAATGCAGGCCATAGACTGGTCGAAAATCGGACGATTTTTCGGTGAAAAAAAAAATCGGTCGATTTTCGCGCCGTTAGTGGTCGGCCGTTTTTTCGGGATTTTGGCACATATTTTTTATCAGTGAAGTTGGAAAAAAAATCAACCGATTTTGCTGGCAATGATGGGCAAATTGCTCGATCTTTTTACCGATAAAAAATCTGTGCATGAGCCATGACCTGCAAGAAGAAGAAAAAGAATAAATTCCAGTCCGCTATTACATTTGACATGAAAAAGTATTGCGGTTGCAACAATGTATCTATTTGTATCCGAATTAAACCATCTGTATCCAAATTGAATACAAATAGATACATTGTTGCAACCGCAATACGTTTTCATGTCAAATATAATAGCGGAGCTCTCTTCCAGGACAGAAGTAATTACATGCTGCCTGTAGACGGGACAAAAATCTACCATTTTTTTTTTTTAACCATTGGTGGTAACATCGGCCTATTGAACGACCAATTTTTCGTCTTTTTTTTTTTTTTTTTTTTTTTTTTTTTTTTAAACGGCTGGTTTTCGACCTGTCTATGACCTGCATAAGACTATGTTCATACTTCAGTGGATGGTTGTTTATGCGGGGATCGCAGCAGTTCCTCCACTTGTGAGCAAATCGTGCTGTTCTGTAGAGATGCATGGGGCTGGCATTCATTGTTAATGGCACCCCCACACATCTCAACCCATAGCACGTTTGCAAGTGTGAGAACTGCAGAGAAATCGCATGGTACAAAAGCACCATGAGATTTCCCTGCGGATGAATTTTGAAAAAGATGCAGACACCTTTTTTGTTTCTGTGGGAAACATGGGCATGGCAGCCCATTTAAATAAATTAAACTGCTGTGCCTGAGCAAACACGGGCCGCAAACCTGCACGCCCGCACAGCTGTGAACCTAGGGTAAGACTGGGTTCACATCTGTGTGGGTGATTTCCACTGTGGGACTGAATCTATACCCGCAACCCCAACCACCCGCACAGAAAAAACACAGCAGATGTGTGCAGGTGTCATTATGTGCGCCAATGCACTAGAAATCACTACTGCACTTGTGGTTCCCGTGCGGACTGCAATTTCTAAAATGCTGCAGGGACCTTTTCCCTGTGTTTCAGGGACATGACAGCCCATGCCTGTTCAAAGCAAGGGTTTGCAAAGCCCCTTAGATATAAACCTACGGTAAGTTTGTGCCCATTGCATTGCGCATTCATATTTAGACACCGTGTACAACTGCTGTAAAAAGAAAGTGGAGGGAAGACTATGAAAATGGAGGTTGTTAGGACAATGTATATCTGACTTCATACTTCTTTTATGTTTTTTTTTTTCACTTACTAAAACTATGATATTTTGCCACCCCAATCTTATTCACTAGGAGGGTAGGTAGGGGGGTATAGCAGTTGTCATGAGCTTCTCTGTTTTCTAAGGCACCCAGTATTTATTCAAAGCACTACAAACTGTGATCCACGTTTGTGAATTTTATTTACTTGTGGTGATGAGCAGATGTCCCAAGGCAGGAGGAGGGTTTTTTCCTGTCCACTATTGAGTAGGTTTGTTTTGTTCCCCCATATCTATGTAGACTGGAAGTTGAGTGTTTTACTGTTTTTAACCATTATGTTTTTATGAATTTCAAACTTTGCAATATCAGTAAATCAATGCACCAGGCTCCTTTTATCTTTTGTTTGCACAAAGGCCACAACAAAATCTTGTTGAGAATGATGGTAGGGTAGCCATCTGTTCCTTTCCCAGTGTTGTCTGTATGATAAGAGTAAGCTGTGTAAACAGTGGAACCACCAAAACTCCGATAATCTGTGGCTTTTTGTTAGAAGGGATTGAGCCTGTGCAATACTGAAAGTTTGTGAGGTCAAGGGTGTCCTGTATTTAAACACAACAGATGCTGCATTAATGGCAGTACACATTTTTTTTTTTTTAAAGAAAAAACATCAAAACTTCAAAGGTGGCCATAGAGAGCAGAAGATGATTAGACATTTAGCCAAAATCTCAGGTTTGTGTGCCCGATCGCCAATGTTTCCATTTAGTCTGTGGATGGACTTGGGGAAACTGCACTGCAGACAACTTTTGGTGGTGTTGCAAAATGAGTGCAGTTGTTTTTATTGTGGTATGTTGGCAGCACATTCATTTAACACAATGCAGGTGAATGCTGAAAAACACGCAATGACGCACTGGACAAGTCTGAAATAGGCCTAAAGGTTTGAATGCCCATAGATGGCCTCAGGGCCAGTTCACACCAGAACATGGTGCAGGAAACCCGTGTCCCAGTGCATTTCCCACACTACGTTCAAATTTCACTGCAGTTGTGATCTGTAGCGGGGGTGTCACAATTAAGTTAACAACACTCCAAATGCAGTTTGTTTGCCCATACCAGATTGCATGGTACAGAAGTATCATGCGATCTGGTTGCAGTGAGTTTCCAAAAGTAGTGAATGCACTACATTTGGTGCGGTGCAATTTCAGCCCATTCAAAATGAATGGGCTGAAATTTCACTGCACAGAATTGCATTTAAAGTGTTACTAAACCCACAACAGTAAAATCCGCCTGTATATTATTATTATTATACAGGATTTATGTAGCACCAACAGTTTGCACAGCGCTTTACAAAATGGAGGTAGACATTACAGTTGCAATACAATTTGGTACAAGAGGAAACAGAAGGTCCTGCTCATTAGAGCTTACAACCTAGGAGCAGTAAAGCACGCTTGTTATACTCACTTTGGAACCTAAGGGGTTAGTTCTCTGCGTTGTGTAAAACGCCTGTTTGATCCTGACTTCGCTGATTCTCCCCTTCTTCCAGTGTCCCCCTCTTATCTCCTGATAAGACATATCCTGTGGAATCACTCTGCACAATTAAAACTCCTCTTACAAGCTTTAACCAGTGCTCTGCTGGACACTGCTAGAAGTCACAAGACTGCTATAAGTGCTGATGAGAAAAGTATTTAGCAGGTTATATTTTCTAAAATAATTGTATTTCCTTGTACTGTGGGAGATCAGATATACCTGTAGTGAATGCAGGGTCCTGTGTTTAGTAACAGTTTAAATCACACAGGAACGCACAGTGCATTCTGTGTGTGATTTTCAGTGTAAACCGGCCCTCAATTACATTTGAGTTGTGTCTGTTTATTTTTAGCATTTGTACAGGTGTTTTTGAGCTTTTTTTTTTTTTGCCAATGTAAAGTTAGGGAAAAGAGGTGCTCCCATTTAAAGCCCTTTGGGGCCTGAAATGTTTGAAGCTTGTACCTTTTAAAAAGAAGCTCTTGTACTTTTTTGAGCTGCAAAATTCACGTGACACTATGCTCAGGCTTAAACTGTCAAATGAAAACCATGGTAAAAAAACAAACTAGAAACTAAAGTGGCACACCACTGCTAATAGTTCCAGATACGTTATTCCAATAACAATCAGAAGGACCATCCAAAAAGTAGCCAATGTATGAATAGACTAGAAGTGGACTGGACCTTTTTAAAATTTCTGCCAGTGTGATTGCAAGCACAGGCCATGTCAGAAGTTGATTTAACAGCTTGTTCCCCTGGCTTTTTATTGGAATAAAGGTGTATCTGGAACTCTTAGCAATAGTGTGGTACTTCAATTTCCATTTTTCTTACATTACACTACAAGCCAAAAGGGACAGTGGAGATCCTCTGGGGTGTAGAAGTTGCTTGCCCATGAACCAGATCACCTGCATAAATACTTCAAGAGAACCATAATACCAAGAATATACCCTATGGGTCCAGCACTAGTTTTACACTTTCCTCAGAAATTGAAAATCATAGAATTTTGGATGTTAAAGCAGAACTAAACCATCCTATCCTTTAGAGCAGGGGTCTCCAAACTTTGAAACTTTATAAGCAAAGGGCCAATTTACTGTCCTTAAGACTTTAGGGGGGAGCAAGACATTGGTATGAGTGGGAGGAATAATGCCCTATTGTTGGTATCCGTGGGAAGAATAGCGCCCCATTATTACTAGTGGGAGGAATAGTGCCCCATCATTGGTGTCAGTGGGAGGAATAAGTGTCTTGTATCAGTGAGAGGGTCGGTTTAAAAGCAAGCAAAGGCCTGCATTCAGCCCCTGGTTCACAGTTTGGAGACCACTGCTGTAGAGCCAAGGAAGCTGACTTCTTAGCCTCTGTTCTGCAGTTGCACTGGTGGCACACATGTGGTTAGTGATGACACTAGCCATTTGTTTGCTTGACCATTCAGTTGAGAGTGCAAGCAACTGTGACAGTTATCACTCATGGAATGCCTTGAATGCAACTGGTTTGGTTTAAACGTTTAACCTCCTTGGCGGTATGATTATTTCTGATTTTTTTGTGCTGAAAGCGGTACCTTTTTTTGCATGGAAATATGTAGTTTTTTATTGTAGGCTGTAATTTTTAGGATTAACTCACTGAAATCTGTCCGAACAAGAGTCTAGTAAACATTCCGGATATGATAAAACTTGAAACACGAAATCATAAATTATAATTTAATAAATAATCATAAAAAATAATATATTTAATTCAATAATATAATCAAACCAAAAAAAACACTGAAATTTGAAATACAGAGGCAAATTCGCACATCGCTGAGCAAAGTCGCAAAATCGTTTTCAGTGTCTGATGACGAATTTCCCCACAAATCATTATCAGTCAATTCTGCAAGTGGTTCTAATTTACTATCGCTGTTCTCTAGCTGGTCTACAACCGCTTTTGACATAAAAGGACGCTTTTTGGATGCCTTTTGGACGCCATGGACTTTTCTAAGTTTCCAGGCAGAAAGAACAGTCAAAATGTAGGCAGGGCACAGGACAAAGCAGTAGGGACAAAATATATGTGAAATGGTTTGAAACAGCAATGTTTTATTATATAATAATCATTTTTAAAAAAGTCATTTTTTAAAAATTTCAAATTTGCCGCCGGTTCCGGCGCCCGTACGTCCCGATGTCACGATGTCACAGGGACCGGAACACGGAAGCCGGATGCCGGCATCGGCCGGAGAAGATGGCCGGGGACGCTGCAGGGGACATATCGCTGGAGCGCAGGACAAGGTAAGTGCTGCAGGGACTCCCTGAGCAACGCCGCATGGTAAGCCCGAGTGTAGCTCGGGGTTACTGCTCTTGGTACTGAAATTTTACCCCGAGCTACACTCGGGAATACCGCCAAGGAGGTTAAAGGATATGTTCAGCATTGTGAACATGTTACACTCATATTTAGGGTGTAACATGCAACATGTTCAGCACCTGCCTCCTACGTGCCCCCCATTACAGCGGGGCGGGGATCTTCTTCCAAGCACCCACTGCCAAAATTCAAAAAGAGCAGAATTTTGTGAATGAATGCCTGTAAGTATCGTCATCCATTGTGGCTGATGGCTTGTTGTTCTCCATGAACTACCAGGTCGCTAATGGTAGTTCATTGATTTTCCTGTTAGGTAAGTGCCTGCGCTTATTGGAAATATGTGCAGACAGCTACAAAGACAATCTGTAGGAGCCTGACATTGCACCAGTGATCACCATGTGCTCAACCTCTTGAAGATCCTACAGCTGTTGAATGCTGGCAGGAGGGAGAAGAGAAGCTGGCTTTCAGCGGTTGCAGAAAGAAAATGGAGAGGATCAGTTCCTGTATATGCCGCCCCTCCTGTTCAAGTGTAAACCAGAATGTGACAGGGAGGCCGTATGGGCCCTCTGGAGTATGTAGCAAGGTCCCATTGTGACCCCTGACACTACACCAGTGGTTGGAGAGGTGTAGTAAAAACGTCCTGAACTGCAAATGTAAATGAGCTTTTACTGTTCTAAAGCCACTATAAAGCTGTTTGCTGCACTTTGCCATAGACTTCTATTATATCTTTCGGGTGTGGTGCCCTTTCTGAAAGCGCACCAAACTCGCAGGATATAATAGAAGTGCACTTTCCTGGTTTGAGGTAGAGGGCCACATCAGAGGACTCCAAAGGCCACAGGTTGAGCACCCCTGTTTCACAGGCTCCTAAAAAGAAAAAAAGAAAACAACAAATGCACATTTTTTACCTGCAAAATAGGAGGCTTGTGCAGCAATAAGAGGCTACCAGCTCTCTCAGCTAACTGTGCCTACACGTAAGCAGCGTAATCGCTCAAGCAGTCCTATATAAAAGATTATGTACATAGACAGGCACCACATATATAAAATGTAAAATGTGCATATACTTATAAGAGGCTTGTTTCACAACATGTCCCTAGATCAAAACATAAAATTATATTACACCTAGAGGTAAGTGCTATATTCCCATTTCCTTTGCAAAAAACATAAAACAAAAAAAATCCCCCACAAAATCAAAAGTCCATAGGTGAATTTAGATTTTAGAAAATGTGACCCAAACAAGGAAAGTGACTTATATCTTCACCACGTGGTGGCAAGGAATATAAAAATTACTCACTAGACCTTTTGACCCCCATTAAGGTGGTCAGATGTGCTTTTTGGTTATATAGGAGACCATTCTCTCAGGCACTTACTCCCCTCCTGCAGCTCTCCGTATATATTATTATTATGCAGTATTTATATAGCGGCAAAAGATTTGCTCAGTACATTATAGTGGGGGACAGTACATGAGACAATACAGTAACAAAACAATACACGAGGGGGTTTGAGGGCCTTGCTCTTTCTTACAATCTTGGAGGCCATAAGCTAAGGTATTGGGACTCCCAGCATGCCTCTGATGATACTTCTGTGGTGTTTGATATGGGCTAATTCTTATGGAGATTTGATGCCAGACCACTCAGATAAACCAGACAGTTTATCAGAGCAATCTGGCATCAAAATGGGGTCAAAAGGTCTGGTGAGTGAGCAATTTTTATATTGCTTGCCAGCACGTGATGAAGATATGTCACTTTCCTTGTGTGGGTCACAGCATAAAGAAATTGAAAGGGCTGTCACCTTTTCCTAAATCTAAATTCACCTATGGACTTTTATTGATTTTGTGTTTTATGTTTTTTGCAAAGGTAGTGGGAATATAGCGCTTACTTTTTTTAGGTGTAATATAATTTTATGGTTTGATTTAGGGACATGTTGTGAAACAAGCCTCTTACAAGTACCGGTATATGCACATTTTTATTGTGGTGCCTGTCTATTTACATTATTTACACGTGTGGTTATTCACCCTATTAGGGGCAGCTTCATATTATACACCAATGTATTTTTTTCGCTTGGCACCTTTTAATAATAATTTTTAATCTATATAAAAGATTGATCACATAGTTGATTTTATCTGCTCCCTGCTGGTAATTTTTTCCGCTAGGGGCATAAAATGCAGGCCAAGGTTTAGATTCTGCAAAAAAAAGGAAACATAAAACAGGCTCCATACACACTAGTGGTTTTTTTAAGCTCCTAGAAGCTGTTCTTAGCATTTTTTCTGCTCCTAGAAACTGAATAGTGTTATCCATGTGTCCATGCATACTATTTTAGGCTAGTAGCCTTTTTCAATCTTCAGCATTTGGAGCCATAAAAAAACCCTAAACACTACTAAAAACGCTCCTAACAACATATTTTTTTTTTTTTAGCTTTTTTTTTTTCCCCTACATGTACTGTAGAAACGCTAATAAAACACTAACACTTCTAAACACTACTACCAACATTTGTTTATCCAGCATTGTTTCCAGCGTTTTTAGAGCTTACAAAAAAAGCTAGTGTACATGGAGCCTGAAGGAAATGCTTTTTTTTTTTTTCCCTAGATTTTGTTTTGTGCTTTCAGTCTGTTTTCTTGCATTTTCCTGAATTTGTGTCTACCAACAAAAGTAGAACTGTGCTTTTTCAGAGAAGCTTTAGGATTTTTTTTTCTATTTTTTTTTTTTTTTTTGTATGTACATTTGTGTGGGGATTATATGGGGTTAATCATTCCCTTTTACATAATCTGTATACTGAAAAAGATCATGCTGATAAACTCTGGCATTTTAATATCAATTCCCCTGCCTAATGCAATGTGTACCATGCATGTAAATCCACTATTCGTTATGCAAACCCTTTCCAAAATGAAAACAACTTGGCTTTCTTTTTCACTTTTTTTCATGTTTTGTGTTGTTTGCATTTGTTTAATGCTTTATTATTGTGATGGGATGACAAGCTTTATTCTAGTGTATGAAAAACATGGGAACCTGCAAGAAAAGACAGAATGTGATCGTGCCTTATCGTTAAGTTTCTAGTCCAATGATTTGCATAATATTTGCATGTTGACATTCTGTCCAAAGTTTAACCCTGCATTGTACGTCTTTCAATGTTGTCAATTTGCATAATATTTGACTTCCATTTGTTTGATACTCTTATCTGTATATAATAATTAAGAGTCTGCTTTTGGCAGTATTTTGGTTCTGTATCTGTGTGGGAAAGGTGACTGAAATTTAAAGTATGTTTGTACATGTCATTTAATATACTTTTGTAGTTCTTCTGTCAAATTCTCTTTGATAGTTGTTTAACCCTTTTGTGATCAGAGATCATAGATGCCCAGGCTGAATTTAGTGATGGCATGTGTCTGTTAACTTAAAAAAAAATGGATTAATGTCCATACATAATTTTTATTCAGGCACATAAATTGCTCAAGCCACAAAAACTATAAATCCACTTTGTGCATCAGCAGATGCCTTTGCAAAACCAGTTATTAGTAATACCTTGTAAAAGTAGTGGTTTATTCACTGTATTGCACATAGTCTGTGCAGAGAGCAGAGCTGTGGGATAGACCCAGCAGGTGCCACTTACTACAGTGTGCCTGTAGACAACTATGGGGGGGGTGTCAAGACCAGTCAACCTGCAACCTGTGCACCCTTTCACGCTAGATTACTGCATAGATCTGGTACGTAATATACAAAGCACACTAAGATTTAAGTAAGAAAACACATGCCTCTTGTTTTAGACATTATTTGCTTGTCCTGAAGTTCAGCTTTAAGGACATATACGGTTTTTGTTGATACACAGCTTTAATTTAAAAACAAATTGAGGTTGAAAAATGTAAAAAAGATGTCTTATTCATTAAGGGATACATAAAGTCATAACTCTTTGTGTTATATTGCCACCTGCAGTAGGTTTGGACACTGACAAAAATAACTATGGGCCAGCCTAGTATAACCCTTCTACTGCCAGCATGCCTCAGTTTTTTGCTAGTATCCTTGGAGGATGGATGTTTTTTTTCCTCAGCTCTGCTGTTGTAAAGACTAACCTAATATTTTACAAGGGTAGAGACTTTCAAGAATAACAATTACAATGGCAAAATAAAGTAGGATGAAACATCAAAAATGAGAATGAGGAAGCATATATACAATATTAATAATACAAACTGCATAGCAGTGATCCAAGTAGCATACATCAAGATCATCCACATTCCAGTGAAAGAATTAAGCTTGGTATACATTTCAGCCTTATGGCATTATTACTGTAGATTCTAGGACCACTGAGGGTAAATGTTAAAAAAAAAAAAAAAAAAAAAAAACCCCAACGATATCCAAGCATGATTATCTTCCTGTAGATACCCAGAATGATGTGAAGTAGAAGGAATCTGTGGTATCATAAACCATATGGCTACCATGTTTATGGAAAGAAAAGGAATAAAGAAAAGAAGGAAGAAAACAATCAGTGGGAAACCAGACTCGCCCTTCCAGACACCCTCATATAACCCTGAACAGATAGAGTACCCAAGACTTTATACCACTGCTGGAGGTTCCCCCTCTGCTTTGCAGCAATTTGGCACAGGTGACCTCAGTAGAGTGTTGGATTGCACTGCATCTGCATGCTACTGGACTCTGAATTGTGGGGCTAGCCTGGAAGTGACCTTTTTGGTTCTGCTGCATGGAGCACATTTGCTTCTCTCGGCTGAGCACCAGTCATTCCCTCATTTTTATTGACTGCTGGACACCATTATTCCCCATTTCCCACCAGCTTTGCAGAGGAAGGGCTTACAGCTTCAGTGACTTTGGTCACCTCTGGCCATCTGACACATTCGTCCTGGCTCTACACCTATTACCATCTTTCCAGGTTTAGTGAGTACTTAAGGCTTTACTTCTTAACCTGAGCATGTACATTGCCTAACCAGGGTGAAGCTGCAACATGGGTTCAACCTAGCTGTTCCTGGTGCAGCTTGCCCGATGATGGTGCGGACACCTGCAGCCTGGATTCATGCT